GGGTGCATTTTGTAATTTTCCCTATATTATATTGTCTTTTTTTGGTATTAAGGAAAACACAAATTAATCAAGTCAAGATTATAGTCTCAAGTTGCCCTTTCACCAAAGAAGTTTAAGATGTGCTAAATTACACCTGTTATGGCCAATTTTATCATGTGAGTGGGTAGGGTCGAATACTACATCGGCCAACTCGAATCCTGTTCGGTATATTAAAATCCTAATTGTATTTATTTCTCACTAAAACCTTAAGAATTTTAAAAGAAGTCAATCAATATGGTTTAGGGACGGTAAATGGAATGAGTCGTTCACGGTCTCGACTTGTTTGGACTTGACTAATGAACCAATCAGGGTCGTGTAGAGACGAGCCATGGGCAGAGCTCGCTTGGCTCGTAAAACCTGTTCCGACTTGTATTAAAAACCGTGGGTATTTTAAAATGTAATGATCGTTTTGGACCATCATATAATTTTTTAAAAATATTTTTAAATGAAAGTTTTGTTTCCAATGTATGCCGCCCTTTATTTTATTTTCTCTCACACCGCAAATCTCTCTACATTTTCAATTTACATTATAATTATTATAATCTTCATATTAGCTCTTTTATTGTACAATCTGAAGTTCTATTATATCTAAATTTTCGTATTTAAGTTGTTTCAGTCCAATTCTAGCATAAATTATATTATTCTAAATGGATTACATCACATTGTTTAACAATGGTGACTTAAACGAAATGTTTGATGCTTCCAACAGAAACTACTCCAACTCCATCATTAGATCACACGATTTTAGTGGTCTAAATGATGTTTAAATTCTTATTGATTTTGGTGACGACCATGAGAGAAAGACTCCAATGATTAGGATGATATTGAAGAAAATGAAACGTTAATAAAAAATTGAAGTATTAAACAATGAATGAGGAAATAAATTGCTAATTGTTGAGAATATTTCAAATTTGTGATCATGTGTGCATTCACAGGCAGAAAGCCAGAGCACAGTGCAAATAGTACAAAGAAAACCCCCCAAAGAAAAAAAAGACTCGATATGATGAAGCATGTGAAATTTAGTCATATAGTCAGAATAAGCCACCAACTCTTTTTGACAGTGCATACAGAGTACTAGCTATCCCCGGTTCTGACCCAGGCCATTTCGAACTATTCATAGTGGCTACTCTTTTTGAAGTTTAACTATTTACTCTCTAGCTATTGAACTTTCATAAATTGTTTCGTTCTATCATTCTAACTCTAACTATTTACTCTCTAACTATTTTGTGTGCCGTTAATTTCAAAAAGGGGAAGTAGTAGATTTTAATTTTGTGATGCATAAGTGGTGATAAAAAAATAAAAATAAAAACATGAGTGTTAGGATATGCTTGAGTTAGGGGGAGCACGAAGTGTAATGAGAACTGACAAAGGGGGCTTAGTCTACGAGAATTGATTGATTATAGTCATCATACACAATATTAAAAATCTAGTATTCGTTTTTGAAATTAAACAAAGCTAAAGGGGAAGATAGATGGAAAAAGGTGTCATGTTTTTACAAATTTTATTTATTTTCTTGCTTAATATATTTGTTAATTTTTAATTTTCATACATTGGAAAATAACTTGTCAAAATTCGTGAAAAAAAAAAGATTCCAGTTTTTTCTGATAGTCAATCAGTAAGGGTTGGGAAAGTACAGATCCGCTCAAAATATTTGAGCTGCGAATTTATTATTTTTTCTTATATATTAGGATCTGAATTCTTGTTACACATATATAGTTTGTGCAGAATTTTTTATATTATTCTTGATATTTTTAAATTTTTTTAGAAGGAAAATATAAGGATTTATTAAATTAAAATTATCTTTCCTTATATTAGACTTCTAGAAAATATAGGATATCTTTCGGCACATTTTTCATAATAAGATTGGACTTTTAATAATCTTGGATATCTTTGACACATCTTTCAGGATAAGATTGGACTTCTGATAATTTAAGATATCTTTTATGATATTTTTTTTTTTAATCTTTTATGATACGATTAAGCTTTTATGATAATTGTATATATTCTATAATAAGTTCACCTTTTTATTACAGATTATCATATAAAATTTTATTCCTATCTTTGATAATTATCTTACCTATAAGTGAGGTGATTAATCAAGAAAGGAAATGGAGCTCTAAAAAAATAAATTTCGTCTCCAAACATGTAGCAAGCAGCTTTGCTGTTAATCAACGGCAAGAAGTACCACCCTTAACCAACAACGAGCAGTTTTACCATTCTTAAAACTTAAAAGAGTTCATACAGACGTGATGCTTCATTGAATATATTCAAAGTCCATCGTTCTATTCAACGTATTTGGAGAAACAAAACAATGTGCATTAATGTTAAATCCAGTTCAAGATCAAGCTGCTTAGCATGAGTTAAGAATTGTGATTCTTAATCTACGTAGTGGTTGCGACCGAGTACAACAGTGAAGTGGCGATAAAGTCAAGATCGGGAGTTTGATTCCACTTTTAAAACAAGTCAAAAGAAGGGAAAAAAAACTATGAAATTGTTCTTAGATTTCTTTTAATTGTTATTTGTTAATTTTTTAAAATTACAAAACTAAAATTGTCTTATTTTTTGTCATTTGATGTAGTGGATTGTTTTACCCGCGGCATGGATGCTTCCTTTCGGGGTTTACCATGTTATATTTGGTGTTCTGCTTTTAATTTACTATTTAAATTCCACATCTAGGTAAAACACACGAACACAACACATCCTACACGTATCAGTCAGAACTCTGTTAGAATCTAAATATAGGAAGTTCACTGTCCGCCTTCCATCCTAAAACATAATAGTGAAATTAAAATTTATTTTTTAATTTATCTAGGTTTCAGAATTTACAAAATGTAACTTTGAGAAAAACTTTTAGCTGAATATAAAATAAGAATTGAATTACGAAGACGAAATGAAGTACAATATGCAAGGCTTTCGAGAGGCCTTTCTACTTTATTTTATTCACCTCTCAATCATTGAATGTTGAAGTCACAATGGTGTTACAAAATTGGATGACGAGTGTGATTTAATTCATCACGACTGTTAAAACTTTTTACAACTTTATAAATGTTTAAAATGAATACTTCAATATTTTTATAACGTATTAAAATATCAATATTGAATATACCTAAGTTTTCTAATGTATAAAAGTCCAAATTAAATAAGAAATGAAACTTTCACAAGATAGATTTGAATATATCTTCTCATAACCAAGGGTAAGGCTAGCAGGGTTAATTTTGATCTCTTTATCTTTGTTAATATTGAAATATGTTCTATATGAGGACGGTCTACATAAGGAGTTCAAAAGTACTAATACGTTTCCTATTATATTCCTTGTAATAACTACAGTGTATAAGATATGTGTGAAAAGCATCGGGATGGCTCGACTAATAGATTTCAAAGAATCTCGATGTCTGTCTATAAACTAACATGGTTAAATTTAAGATGAGTTATACTGCTTTATAGAATTATTTTTAGACTTATAGATGATATGTTCTAACAACTTAAATCAACTTTTGGTTACTTTCCCTCCTCATCTACAAAATATGTTATTCACAACAATTTTTTTGTCGATAGCAAATAATATCATTATAAATAACTATTTGCTTGTAATATATCTTAAATCGATACTTTCGTCTTTTGTTAAGAGTATCTTCAAGAGTATCAAATAAATTTTATTTAAAGAATCGATGCTTAAAAGTAAGTTTCATGACACTTTAGCCGCCATCGAGCATGAAAATTTTGTATGGAGTTAGAAAATTGTACAGTTAACAAAATGGATTTCCGTTCAGAAGAAATGATTCAGTTAGGAGCTTGCCTAATCGAGATTTACATGGACTATATGTGATTAACAGTATGTGCTAAAAATCAAGAAGCAACACTTTCTTCCACTTCAAATAGACCAAACACTAAGAGCCTGTTTGGTAGGAATTTTTTGGGGAAGAATTGATTTTGAATAGTGATATGATGGGAAATGTGTAGTTGAAAAAGAAGAAAAAGGTATTGATATGATGGAAAATATTATTTTATTGAAGAATGTGTGGTTGAAAATGAGAATTGATTTGAGAATTGATTTGAGAATCAGAAACAAACAGGGCCTAAGACTTTGCCTCCGCAGTTCCGAGTTATGAGTTCACGGTAGAGACCTCCAAACAAGATTATGATGAGATGCTTTTGGATATATCAATGTGGAAATAGATGATATAATTGATTTCCACAATCTAAAATATGGTCCGACAATTGGATCATCATAGCTAGTTTAGAAAATAACCAATAGCCTGTCACTGGCTTGTTTCTAACTAGGCACACGATGACACGAACTTATTCTCGAGCAATTAATATATATTTTTCGTTCTTGATTATGTGGTTTTTTTTAAGCTTATTATTCTAGAGCTCTGCCCAACCCCTTTTTAAGCTCCTGTTTTATGGTCATTATTTTTAGAAAATGAAGTTTTGAATGGTGAATTTTTTTTCTTTTTTTTTTTAGAATGTGTGGTTGAAAAGTAGGGAAAAATTGTGGGTTTACGTGTAAAATATTTTATTATGTAAAAATGCGGTTGAAAATAAGTACGAAAATTAAAGTTTTGAAATAATGATTGTCAAACAAGGTTAAATTGTACTTTGTTTATTTTTTTGATTAATAGAAAACATTGACACCAGTGATTTTAAGTTAAAAGACAAATTCACTTTGATACTTGAAAACATCTTCCAAACTTTATTTCGTGAGCAAATAATGGCATCTATTCTCTTATAATAATGCTAATGCTATTTGTAAGTAGTACTTACTCACGAGTTGGTTTTGTGGCACTAAGGAGCAGGTTATGTTGCACTAGAGCAAATGCAACATTCTCATATAAAGTTGGGATGCAATTTAATTCATTGGAGAATCTGCTAATGGGATAAAATAATTATTAGGGATTAACCACAGTCCATATTTAAAGATGAATTAACTTATTCATAATTTGAAAGTTCAAATGTATGATTCAAACAGAATTGAAAATTTTTTGTCCTGGTGACAATATCATTCTTGGATCAAACTGTGCTTTCCTTCTTTGAAAAGTGTTCCATTTTGAACCAAATTGCTTTATCCAATCTTCCTTGGATTTGTAGTGTGGGAGATACTGCTTCAACTTTATTCCAGCTCTATCACAGAATTCCAGTACTTCATTGTTTTGATTGTCCAAATCTTGCCAGTTACTGAAATTTCCTGAATGCAACAGTCCCAAAATGTAGAAGATATCCTCATCTGGTGTTACTGCAGACATCCTATCATCCCATCTGCACAATTTATTAAGTACGTTAAGATTAGGTCATGTTAACTAGAAATTCTTTTTCTTGGATATAGAAACATTATAGTTCTGTATCCGTTGTCAAAACATGTATGCAGTCTTGAGTGCATGCCATCAGTTCAAGATAAGTACTTTGTTTTAGTTGTAGGGTAGAAAAGTAGAGGCCCTTTGGTCTTCTTTTCTCTGTGAAGTATATCTACAATAACACCAGCATTGAAATCCATGATACGAGACTTCGGTACAAAAAGATTCAGCCATGGATGAGGAACATCCCATAATCCTTTTGATCTTAGGGTTAATTCGCCTTGTCGAACTCTATTGAGGAAATCAACATAGGTTTCATCTCTTGTGAAAGAGAAACCAGGAATGTAGTTCAATCCGACCTGCAGCCTTTGAACTTCCTGAAATAACAAGAAGAAAAGAACTAATTTAGTAATGTCCCATATAACACTGTGTACAGTATTATATAAATAGCATGCAAGTATATTTATTGCAGTGAATCTATGAGTATAATATTGAGTAAAAAAATAAAATAAAATGTAAGAGTACACTATATGTAAACAATTACTTTATCCACTAAATTGGCGGTCTCATCATCATAATACTTCACCATCTCTATGCAATAGAGGATGCCATGCTTCTTCAAAAGAGAAGAAATTTGGGATTCATTATAAGGTGTGAAAAAGGGCGATCTCCAGTCATCTATAGGAGTGTAGTCCATCATGAGTTCGCCTTCCAAATAATCTAGGCCGTTGATTGAGATAAGATGTTCTTGATCTCTCGTAAAGATTGAGAAATCATAGTATAGCATTTTCACCCATTTCACCTGAAGAAAGAACACAAATTAGCTATACAATAAACATAAATTCTTTATGTAAATTCTTTGCTCCATATGAGATACGAAAAAAATTAGCATGTGTTAAGTTACATTAAAAATGAACATTTTTTTATGGCGGTGTTATATGCTAAACCATCTCATCTCAAAATTTGAACACGCATATTGAATTCATTTTTGTGCATGTCATGTTTATAACTTCAACACATTCTTCATGTACAAGTGAAATTCATTATATCATGCGATGCCTCCTAATTCATGTACAAATATTATACAATCATACTTAGTAGACATCATTGTCTACACCATTGTTTACATTATTCCAAGTCATTATTTCATTTGCTAGTTAAAAAAAACTGTTTTTTTATCCACTTATTTATTGACAACATATCAAGTTTCAACATGAGTGTACGCAATCGATGCACAAGTGGCAAAATCCAGTATTATAAGATTATGACAAAATATTAACCTTATTGTACTCACTCTTTTTGGTGCTTTCGCTAGGACAATTCTTGCCCTATTTATGATGCCAAACTGCCCTAGACCTCCTAAAACTGCAAAAAATAATTCTGAATTATTGTCTTTGGAGCAAGTCATGAAGTCCCCTTTACCTAAATACGACAAATGGAAAAAAAATCATCTGTTAGTAAAGTGACTATATCCATGCAAAAATTACATGTACCTGATAGAGCTGCTGTTTTAAGATTTTGTCATTCACACATAGGGGGTGTTTGACACCCATTTTTGTGAAAGAATGTGTTTTTCAATAGTGATTGATGGAAGAACGTGTGGTTAAAAAGTAAGGAGAATTTTTAGGTTTATGTGTAATATTATTTTATTGATAGAATGTGTGGTTGAAATGAAGAAAGAGAAAAAAAATGAAAATGAGAATGAGAAAAAAATGGGTGCCAAACGGGAATTTATATTCATTATAAGGTGTGAAAAAGGGAGATCTCCAGTCATCTATAGGAGTGTAGTCCATCATGAGATCGCCTTCCAAATAATCTAGGCCCTTGATTGAGATAAGATGTTCTTGATCTCTCGTAAAGATTGAGAAATCATAGTATAGCATTTTCACCCATTTCACCTGAAGAAAGAACACAAATTAGCTATACAACAAACATAAATTCTTTATGTAAATTCTTTGCTCCATATAAGATATGAAAAAAAAAATTAGCATGTGTTAAGTTACATTAACAATGAACAATATGAAAAAAATTAGCATGTGTTAAGTTACATTAACAATGAACATTTTTTTTATGGTGGTGTTATATGTTAAACCATCTCATCTCAAAATTTGAATGCACAAATCGAATTCATTTTTGTGCATGTCATGTTTATAACTTCAACACACTCTTCATGTACAGGTGAAATTCATTATGTCATGTGATGCCTCCTAATTCATGTACAAATATTATACAATCACGCTTTGTATACATCATTGTCTACACCTTTGTTTACATTATTCCACGTGTCATTATTTCATTTGCTAGTTAAAAAAACTGTTTTTTTTATCCACTTATTATTGAAAACATATCAAGTGTCAACATGAGTGTACCCAATCGATGTACAAGTGACAAAATTCATTATTATATGATTATGACAAAATATTAACCTTATTGTACTCACTCTTTTTGGTGCTTTTGCTAGGACAATTCTTGCCCTATTTATGATGCCAAACTGCCCTAGACCTCCTAAAACTGCAAAAAATAATTCTGAATTCTTGTCTTTGGAGCAAGTCATGAAGTCCCCTTTACCTAAATACGACAAATGGAAAAAATCATCTGTTAGTAAAGTGACTATATCCAAGCAAAAATTACATGTACCTGATAGAGCTGCTGTTTTAAGATTTTGTCATTCACACACAATAGACATATATAGTTATGAATGTCATGAGCTATGGATACTATGTAACACATGCAGTATGTATTCCTTTGACAAAATTTGATCAAGTTCCCAGAAATAATCACAATCGAAATATGACTTTTTTTATATTTATTAATTTTTTGTGTGTGTTTTATCACGTTTTGAATTACATTCTAACATAAAAATTCATAAGCTACTGACATCGGGAGATCTAACCACTTCATTGTCAAAAGGTGTAACTCATTTGAGAAGAGCAATCAACCTTATATTATTCAAGATTAAGCTCAAGAATCCAGCCCAAGCACTATTCAGTGGGGTCTTACGTCGAAAATTCCTTTACAAAACAGGCCCATGCTTATTTTCAAGTGACGCCCCTCATGAAATGGCCCCAAGACACTGCTTCCAGCTTGTACTAAATGAATTGTTTTGCTAGCTATATAAACATTATAGAAGAATTGAAAAATGCACCTGTAATAACATCCATTTCAAGAACATTGCTAATCTGTGGACCGTGTAGGAAGGTCTGTCCACTGATTCCAGCATTAGAAAGTGTACCCCCAACAGTTAGGTACAAATAGTCAGTCCATGAAACAGGTGCAAGGCCGTGTTGTAGGGTGGCATTCAATACATCAATCCACAGTTGTTCACCCCCAACATCTGCATAATGTCCTGCTGTAGAAACCCTAATTCCAGTCGCATTTTTATATTGTTCATTTAAAGAAAGCATATTCACTACGATCCCATTATGTGACATGTCCTGTCCTCTAACAGAATGTCCATAGCCTCGTGCCGACACATTAAATGGGAGGGGACATTTGTTAGAAAATTTGATAAGTTCAGTAATATCGTCACTAGATGTAGGATAAAGAACCGCAAAAGGAATATCTCGAACAATATGACCATAGTCAGTTGAGGCAAGTCCAATGGCTTCAGGATCATAGCGAAGCTTAGCACGTACTGTAAGGGAATCAAAATTACAAGGAACTGCATTCTTTGATTGCCTTAACTTCCCTATAATGGACATGAAACGACTTAGTTAAAGAAGCTAGCTATATGTAAAGAAATAAATTTTCATGGAAATGTAGATTTGTGAATCTTGGAAATATACTATCACACAGCAAACCTTGACATGTTCACAACAATTAATTATCAAATATACGAATTAAAGGAAGGATTTCTTATACTTTGCTTTTTGTCTAAAACATCACGACATACTCGTGCATGTAATAAAATCTCTCTCTTAATTTATATATTTTTGAATATCATTCTAGTTATATAATGAAGTGTATAAAAAATTAAAAATTAACCTAGATTTTATGTTTCATGTGTTTATATGTACAAGAGTATGCCGAGATTATAAGAAGCAACATAGGATCTGAAAATTCATATTCTAACTACAGCTACAAAGCCCATTGAGTCCTCAAGGAGATGCCCTTTCAAAGTTTGGTACAATGATGCAAATAGCGTTCATGAATCTTAGAAAACAATGATTACATTATTTTCTGTATTGAAACATATCAAAACATATCGATTTGATCAATCAAGATTAGTGAACTTCCAAAAGTTATTTGAACACAAATGTACAAATTGCTTTTGACTCAAAAAAATAAAAATAAAAAATGATAATACTATTTTCTACTTCGTAAATACAATCGACTTTAGGGTTACCTGCGAATTGATTTGACGAAGCATCTGCCATGGTTGCTTTTATTGAAACAAGATTGACATAAGCAATTGATAGTACAATAAGCACTATACGGGTAGAAAAATCCATCCTTTCCTCAATTTCTATGTTTTTCTGAAACTAATATCAAGGCTTCGAGTATAAATCGATTTTCCTTTCTTATATAAAGGTAAATGAACCCAATAAATTGCCTGAATTAATTAGCGGATGAAACTAATTGCAATCCATTTATCTCTATACAAATAGGAAAATCATCATACTATTTGATCCTAATTAAAGTGGATAAAACTAATTATGATCATTCAATAAAATATTTGCAATAATGAATATAAATTACAGCAATCCAAGTGTTGCAATTATGAACTTCAACTACTTATTATCTGATAATTATGGTGTCATCAATTCAAATTTAATACAATTTAAAAGTCNATCCTAATTAAAGTGGATAAAACTAATTATGATCATTCAATAAAATATTTGCAATAATGAATATAAATTACAGCAATCCAAGTGTTGCAATTATGAACTTCAACTACTTATTATCTGATAATTATGGTGTCATCAATTCAAATTTAATACAATTTAAAAGTCTATATAAATTTAGGTGTTTAATGGATTCTTTTAAAATACAAGTATCTGCAACTTAAATGTTAATACATTTTATTAAAATTTGGTTATCCTTAATAACTTTTGGATTTCTAAGAATTTCATGAATTGAAGAGATTTTAATATATTTTAGTGGATTTCGATTTCATGAATATAAATGTCAAAGTCTTTATGAATTTCAACCTAACTCATCAGATTTAAGTGCATTTCGAGCCCACAAATATAAAAATTAAATTATTTATCCCAATTAAAAGGAAATAAATTAAATTAAGTAAAAATAAATAGTAAAATATCTCATTTTCAATCCCCATTCTGAAATTCAAAGTGGAAGACAAGAAAAAAAAAAATGATAAATTGACTTTTGTTCCTAGAATTTAGAATCGATTTTATTTTTTTATTGTGGACAGCTAAGAACGTAAAAATAATTAGTCTATTAACTTTTAAAACTGTACTTGCCAACTAAACATGTCTTTATTCATAAAATATTTTAGTGAATATTTTGTACATAATACTCGACACTATAATGAAAATGAGTTATTTTCGTATTGATTGTTAATTTGCTGATATTTAATTGCTTAATTTTATAGATTGATGAAGTTACTTCTTTTAAATGATAAAGTTGAGATTTTTTTTTACATTTTTATTTTTTGGAACAATTTTTTTTTTTTTCCTAATTACAAATTTAGAATTTTTATCCTGTTGGGTAAGTTATTAAGAAATTATATTATTTTAACGTAACCGAAAAATTAATTAAAATCCAATGAATCGATTAACTAAAAACTAGAATTATGTAAATCTTATGAATTATGTGAACTCTATTCAAGAAAATCCATGGAAGTTCATAAAATTTAAAATATCCATTAAACTTTGAATTAAGGACATCCTTCTCAAATTTCAATTAGTGGATAAAATGTTCCTATCCTTATTATTCCATAACTATTCTATAATTTCATAATAGGTCAAATTATTTAAGAATATGATGGCAAGAAAATTGTTCTACTCACCCTCGTGAATGGACTGTTTGGATGAAAACCATTACAAATTATTTTACCTTAATAATTTCTTATAAATTTTTTGAGTTTGCTTTCCTGTTTTTTATGAGGGAAAAAAAAAACATTTTTTGCTTAACAGGATAGAGAATTAGAGAATGGAACACGAACGCAGAGCCATCTTGAGCATAAGGCTACTTAGGTGACCGTCTATGATCCCGGGTATGACTATGCCCAAAATCTTGAGAACTCGTGTATTTTTCGACTCCAGAAGACATTTGATCTTCCTTTTATTGCCTATTTTGGTTGTTTCTTTTGTTATTAAAAAAATGATGAACTTTTAGACAATTAGTTACTGGCTACAGAAATTTAGTATACCTCATAGTTTTCAGTTATAACTTGCACTCCAAATACATTTTGTTCTTCTAACACTACTAAAGAAAATTTGACATATAATGGTTTTTATCCGTTGGAAAAGACCATTGTCTGGTCAATCATTGTAAAAGATCCTCTCATGAAGATAATGGTTTCATGCAAATTTTGTATAATGAATATCAAGAAAATCATATAAATAGACCGGACAAAAAAAGTTGAAAAAACTTTGATACACTAAAAATAGCTTATAAATTAGCTCAAACTATTATTTGTCGTTGTGTATGATAGTAAGCAAGGGTGATTTCCAGACGGAAATTGATTCAAGTTAACTAATCACTTTGCTAAGAAAATATTCAATAAACTAATCTAATGATCAATAAAATATTACTTTCGATGTTAGTGCTTAAATTGG